CTGTAGCCTCCAATTTCTGACAAGTCTCTACCCACCAGTCATCAGCCTCATTTGCTAGCATATGAGTACCATATCGAACATTCTGTGCTGGAGTGCAATCCATCACACGAAAGATTCTTTCAATCTCTTTCAACCAATCCAACACTCCATCAGGATCATACTTACCCTTGAAGGTAGGCAGATTCTCCCTCTGGAAGGTCTCCAAGCTACGAGATCCAGTATTCCCATTAGCATTCGGCTGATTCTCCATAGCATGCGCCATCGCTTCTAAAGCAGCAGCAAGTGCATCACCATTCCTTCCAGCCATCTCAACTTATGACTACAACATAAACAATGGTTAGAACTCAAGATAACAATACTCAATTGTTATACAAAACTACGACTCAACAACTTGGTCGGACCGACCGACCTACTCTGATACCAACTTGTAAAACCCCATTACTACCCAACGAATTATATAAAATCAGAGTTATAAAAATTCCAACAAACAAATGGAGTGCTATTATTTCAACTTAAAATAACGACATTTAACACAGATACATAACACTTTAAACTCGGATGAACCAACAACAACATAAATTAATCTTTTAAAACCAATAACTTTAATAACTACGCAGCAGAGTCATAAAATCCGACTTAAAAGAATGTAACATCTTTATCCAACTGAAATAACTCCAAATAACAAGTACTTCACGAAAATCAACTTAAAATTCAACAATTGAAATGATAACAACGACCAAGCAACAAGTGTTAATCCCCCCCCCCCCCCCCCCCCCGAGAGTTACGTATCAGAGAAATGACACTGACTTAAACTACTGAAGGTAAACCGCATTCACTTTGGATTACCTGCACGTTACCAACATATGGGTAAAATTCAAACAGAAGGGGTGAGATATTGAACGATACAATAGAATGTATGATAAATAATATATTAGAAATATTTCATACAGATTCACCACTTCGCAGCTCGTTAACAATATTAACATCATCAATCTATCCATACAACAACTCAAAATGCAACATGGAATGCAACTTTCTTTTATGCACATGCATGTGGTACCAATGGAGAAAAACTCACAACTTAATAATCGGTCAATTAATAGAGGCATCAACAAGGCTTAAGCCTTCAAATTTATATTTTTTCCAATTTAGACCAACTTACCGAGCATGAGCTCCAACTTGATATACTATGTATGGACAACAGTATGAATGTAGTAACAACAACAACAACAATAATTCAACAACAACTCAATATAATTCAACATTGACCATAAGCCTACAACTTAATACTTGTCAATAATTAGAGGTATCTCAACAAGATTCATTAGAACCTACCAATTCTCAATTTATAACAAGCATACAATACAACATATCAACCAAAATATACTACGACGTCCTGCGTAATTATACGAGCAATTTGACTATATCCGGCTAAGTAGTTTTCTGCTAAAATACTAATTTTCTCTCCTACAGTTACTGAAAACTCTATTAAATTACTGGGACTTCTAAACTAAAGTAATTAACCAACTCAGCATGTACGAACGTTAAGGAATAAGGGAGAACTATGTGCCCCTCGACATGCACAGGAACCAAGAAAAAATTAACAAATAACATGTTCCCCTCGGCACCACCTGCCGCTTCGTGCAGCTCGACACAAATACCGTGCTCCTCGGCACGCCTTACAGCCTAATGCCGCTCGACACCCAACACTTGTCTTCCCCGACACACCTTATAGCCTAATGCCGCTCAACACCTAGCACATGTGTCCCTCGACACCGCGTGTCTTCAAAACTTTTGCACAGACGTCATCGGTTCTGTGATGAACATTAACTCATCCCTTCAGTATCCTCCTTGACCACTAATTTCCATCCAAAAACATAGAATACACAGCGACTTAACGACCACATCAACACAATCCCTAATTTGTGGCCAACCACTCGGAACAACACAACGACTTAACGACCACATCAACATTATCCCTAATTTTCGGCCAACCGCTCGGAACAACACATCGAATTAACAAACACATCAATAGGTGATAATCTACACTAACCTATTCATCAATTATACTGTGCAGTAAACAGACAATTCATAAACGCCTGCAACATGAAAAACGGCCAAGTTCATGAAACAGATGCAGAATTATACGCACGACAGACATATATACGGCCAATCCCCATATAACATTCATCATAAGCCCCATTGTATAATCAGAACCCACCCTTACCTGGATTAAAGGCCACTCTACAAATCTCTGACCGTAATCCTTGTCTTGCCTTGCTCAACAACCGTACAACCTTGCTCGACAACCGTGCAACCTTGCCCCTCTTCTGTGCAGCTTTTCACGGTCAGCACACCAAGACTTCTATTCTCCAACTAACCAAATTTCTTATGTCAGTTTAACCTTATACCATTAATCCTATTAGGCTTAACTTACACACCCCCACTTTACTACTTCCAACCAATAAAATAGGCCCAACATAAATATTTTATTATTCTACTAATTCTAACATTATTATTATTAATCAACTAATTAATTAACTAATAATAATCCAGCAACTTATGTCAACAATTCACAACATCTTACAACTTCAACAAATAATTTCAAAAATAATTAATTAACTAATTAATTAACGAGCGTTACATATATACTCGACATGGTTTTACTCCACTCAAACTTGTGTCTTGTAGAAGATCAAGTGTGTATTCCCTTTGGCATAATGTGATGTCTTCTTTAGATCTATTCACTTTAAAGCCTAGAAAGTATTTAGGAACTCATAGATCCTTGTAAATTTGTCATTTAAGAGGCTCTTAATGTTGGTAATCTCATCAACGTCAGTCCCCCCTAAGACCAAATCATCTACATATACAAGGATCGCTGTAAAGTGTGCACCATTAAACTTAACAAGGAATAATTAGATTTTGATTGAAGGTATCTTAAGTTCATAAGGGTTTTATGAGTGGTTTGTTCCATTGTATGCTTTCTTGCTTCAAGCCATGAAAAGATCTTTGAAGTTTTCACACTATATTAGGATGAGGCGGATCAAAACCTGGAGGGGTTCACATATAGACCTCTTCATTAAGATCACCATGTAAGAATATTGTCTTGACATTAAGTTGAAACAACGGCCAGTTCTGAACAGCTGCAATGGTCACGAAAACTCAGATAGTTGTCATTTTGACAATTGGACTGAAGGTGTCCAGATAATCTAGACCTTTAGTTTGAGTGAAACCCTTTTTTACCAATCTTTCTTTATACCTCTCTACAAAGCCATTATCATATAGTTTGAGTTTGAACACATATCTATAGTCAATTGCTTTCTTGTGATCATGCAAGAGAACTAACTTCCTGTGATGTGGTCAATTCAGATTTAATGACATTACTCCAATTCTCATCACATATGACTTTTTCATAAGAGTTAGATTCAGAAATTAATGACATATTAAAGAGGATAAGAAGTACTTACTTTTAGAAGAAGTTGGAATATCAACTGAAGTAGGAGACTGAATTGCATTCTCAATCAGGTTTTTAAAAAAACGAGGGAGGTTTGGTAACTTTAGTGGATCTTCTAAGTTGAAGATCAGAATTAGGTTGGTTGAGTAATGGAGACATGATAGGTGGATGATTAGTGTTAGGAGATGATGTATATGAATGAGGTGACTGGTTAGTTGGTGAATTAGTAATGAAAGAATTAGGTTTAGAAAGAGAGATATCAGGAGGATGCAACAACAATGGTGAAAGCATAGCTATAGGTCGATGATACAATATAAAATGTCAAACTATGAACACCATGAAAGAAGAACAAAAAACTTGCATTGCAATATCAAAGAATGAATTACACTAATCTAATTTTACCATGCCAAAACCATTACTACTTTTAGTAAGAAGAGTTAGTTATCTCTAATAATTACTAATATATAACTTCGTCATTACTAATTATTACTCTATCCGTTCTTTTTTAATTGTCATATTTTGACTTTTTATGCAGACCAAGAAAGTTAATAATTGTTGTTTCTTTTCATGCTATGATATTTATTTTGCCTAGAATACCCCTAACTTTTTAACTATTTCAACATATTTTTTTCTCTATCCATAATAAATAGTTAGGGATAATTTTGACAAAAATATAATCATTACTACATTGAATTTTGAAAATCACAATTAAAAAGAAACAAGAAATAATTTTTTTCCACAAAAGTGACATTTAAAAAGAAATGGAAGGAGTAAAAATTAGTAATGACTAACAAATTAAGAGTAACCACTAAACCTTATGTTTATCAGATTTTCTACTGGTTCTTTGAAAGGACAGAAATAATCGTCTGTTTAATAATTTGAAAAGGTCAAAGAAGCAGTTATTTGATAAGATAAAAATGATGTCGTGGTGATGGATGGAGGCAAGAAAGAAAGACAACAAGTTTGAGTTAATCAATTGTGGTCATTCATCTTTGTGTTTAGGTTATTCCACCTTGTGGCATTTAATATTCTTGACTGGACCGTGGCCATCCCTATCCCATGTATGCTTAGCCACTCTTACTACTAATGTCAACTCTATCCCTTTCTATATCTCAAATCTCTACCAAGTCAATTCATGAGATATTATCTTTGAAATTGAATGTTTTCTAACTTGTCCATATTTAGAGCTAGCTTCAAATTAAATGGAAAAGTCAGATTTGTCTACTTATAATATATTTTATGGTAATATATATAGGTTTTTTCATGAGAATTGCACATTGTTTCCTACCAGACACGTCTCAGTTTGAGGCTTGGCAGTACTGGTATCTCTTTTTATTAATACTTTGAAGACATTGTGACACAGCAACCATCGATTTTGAAGGCAGTCCATAAATCCTTTTACAAATGCAACAATGTTGACTAATTGTATTGTCAAAATCATTTACCAAAATTCTAGAGTATTTTATTAATTAAAAATTAGTCTTTTTTGTAGCAATTATAAATTGAAGCTCTACATTTCCTATCATATTCAATTCTTTACCAAAAAATGAAGAGCAAAATTCTTGCACTTCTCTTTTTCTTTGCATTGTCCTCGCAACAACTATTTGGATCAACCCAAGCTTCAGTCGATGAAGTCCTCGATACATCGGGGAAGAAACTTCGAGTTGATGCCAATTATTACATCATTCCGGCTACACCATTTTTCATATGTGGTTTTGTTAGTTGCTTCAATATAAGTGGCGGTGTTTCCCTCGAAACAACCAGTGAATCTTGCCCTCTTGATGTAGTAGTTGTGAAACAAAGTCTAGGGTTACCTTTGCGGTTCAAACCCTTAAATAACAACCTAGGAGTTATTCGTGTTTCTACATATCTCAACATTATGTTCTCTAATCAAAGTTCTAATTCTAGATGTCCCCGCGATTCCTTAGTATGGAAGATTGATCCTTTTTCTAAAGAAGAAACATTTGTGACCACGGGTGGTGTATTGGGCAACCCAGGTTCGCAAACAATTAGAAATTGGTTCAAGATTGAGAAGCACGATGATGCTTACAAGTTGGTCTATTGTCCTAATGTGTGTTCTTCTTGCAAGCATGTATGCAAAGATATTGGAAACTATGTGAATAAGACTGGGGAAATGCGTTTGGCACTCACTAATGACCCCTTCAAAGTTATGTTTCAGAAGGTTTGATAAAAATTAAGCTTTTTCAATGTAACAAGTTATTAGTATATTTATAAGGATTATTGAGTTTGCTTTTCCTTGTGAAAGAATAAAAATATTCGAATGAAAAAAATTATCAATCTATTATCTCCATCGGTTGCAATTTTATTCTGATGATAATTATAAAGATTAATCTCTCAAGTATGTATCCAATTAGGGAATAGAAAGATATTTTTAGTATGCATTATTTTGAAACAAAACAAATAAATTGATTGACAAAACAACTTCACGAGGTTGAGTTTATCCATATCTAGAATACGTGATTTTGACAAATTAATCAATATTTATATTTTGGTCTTATAAATGTAACTCGGTTGGTAGTTGTTGAAGAACATGATTTTTCACTACTCTATGTTTAAGTGTCACATTATACTATTATTATACTAAAAATTTGGAAATTAAAAAAAAAGTCTTTGAGTGAGGTGTAGAGATGAATTAACACACAAAAAAAATCTTCAATATATACTGAAAACCCCCTATGTAGATAAATCCAAACTTGACCATATAATCTGAGACAAAATCAAAGAGTTAAACAAGATTTAAGAGCTAAGAAAGCCAAAAAAATCAATATTCATTGGGCAAACCTATTGCTCTCTAATGAATTAGACCAACTTCTAAAATTCAAATAGAGGACTTGGCCGTGTCACTTGTCAGTTCTACTAACATAAAATAATTTAGTTTATAGTCTAGTAAATTTATTAGCGAAATAAAGTTGGAGCTATTATAATACCGAATGTGTTGTTGAAGAAACCGATCCATGGATCTCCAAAACGGAAGTTCATCTTCACACCTTCTATTCATCTACTATGGTTATGTAAAGCCAAGCTCTTTGATGTGAAAAAACGGAGAGCTTGAATAAATAGAGAGCTTGAAAGTTTGTAAATTAATATGTATTTGATGCGATGATAGCGTTTTGTTCAAATTAATATATCAAACATATTTGATCTTTCATCTTTTTCTTGATTGATTTAATATTTGTATTGTGGATCAATGAGGTGTCGAGATGGTCTTATAGGTCTACTAAATAAAGGATAATTCATTGCTATATCTTAAAGCATATGATCATAATTATAACTGATATATATATATATATATATATATATATATATATATATATATATATATATATATATATATATATATATATATATATATATATATATATATATATATATATATATATATATATATATAATGTTGAGATGAGATGTGTGGTTAGATTTATATTTAGAGAATGATCACGAGGTATAGTCTAAACATGGTATTCACATATATATTAGATATGGATAATGTTCTTGTGCAATATGTGATGATGTATATTAAAAGTTAAAATGGGTGTAAATGATCGTCTAATATGTAAGAAATTACTATAATAATTTTAATTAAAATTCCTAAAATTTCTATAATTGATGTTTCTACTATTCTATTTTGTTTCTTTTCTATGAATATAAAACTTATAAAAAGCAATTAAAAATAATATTTCATATTCAGAATTATAATTATTGCAAATATGTTATATTTTTATTCTATGTGAATTTGATAATTTTACTCTCTACATTTTGATTTTTGTTGACACGACCGTTACAATATCAACAACAATAACCATAACAACAATATTAAAAACTACAACAACAATCACATGTTTGAATAGTTGGGGGAGATTAATTTATCTGCGAAGATCTCCAAAAAATACAAGACAACTGAAAATGAAATCATGGTTACTTCAAATAATTTATAATAATCCTTTTGCAAGATTAGATCGTGAATATCCCTACTACTATTTCACAAAATTTTATGAGATATTTGAAACTCTTGGAGTCAAGGAAGAACTTGAATAAACTTTATTTCTAATGAGAAAAGGAAACTATTGTGTTTGAATTTAGGACATGACAATTTATTGGAGAGAACAGTCAAAGTAAAAATAATGTGAAACAAATTTTCTGAAATAGAAAAGAGGAAACAGAGGAAGAAATTAGTTAAACGCTCCACAATTAGGATATATTTATTTTTCAAGTTAGATTCCAACAATTGTTTTTTCTAAAGCTAGATTCTAAAATTCCTCTAATGGTTAAGTCTTGAATACAAGTCAAATTACGAATAAGTTGTTTATTTAAAAGTTACTTTCATTGAAACAATGAAATTTATTACTAACTATTAATTTGACCTACAAATCCAAACTAGTGAGACCGAGTGAGTGTTTCATTGATTACTTGAAATATGTATGAAATCATTATTGCATGATTTAGTATTAATTTGATTAATTATGTTAATTTTCTTAACTAGTTAGAAAAATCCTAGAAATGATCAATGCTTTGTTTCAAATTTTTAAAAAGTCAGTTGAATTATAAATTCAACACTTGATAAAACGATCCCTCGTACACCTTTGAGCATGTTGAAAATTATTTCTTTTAAAAAAATTACAACTCTAAAACTAAATAGTAAAAACAAATGACACCCTTTGTATTAATGATTAGGGAATCAATCATTACACAATGAGATTGTAAGCAGGCGTGGGGAAGGTATGTTGAATTAGTCAAAGTGTGGGAAAATGAAAATGGTGAAGGTATGTTCTGGACTGGGTCCACCCCGGCCCAAAGCGTAGATAAAGGTTCAATCCACACAGACTTCTCGAAAAATGCGCGCCCGCGGATCACCGCCGACGTGTCCGACCACAGAGTGTAGATGCGATGTCCGCCATTGCCCGCGACACATAGTGTCCCCGACCAAGGGAACTCCAGCTCGAGTCTTGCTCGAGCACCCTCCCCGTAGGGCAGATTCTGTCAGTTCTGACCGTTATCGAATCCTCTAAACTTCGGAAAGACCGCGTCTTCGTCCCTCCTCATTCTTCGCAGAGCACCACCAGGAAGGGGACCACGTGCAGGGCTCCACTACGCACGTAGAACCTGACAGTTCCTTTATTGGACCAGTTCTGGTCAGCCCAATGAGGGGACCTTGGCCCAATGCTAGAGACTATAAATACCCTCTGTTCCTAGAGGGTCAGGTATTCATCTATTACGCACCTATACCTTTTTTGCCTACTCATTCCGTCACTCATTTTAGCATCGGAGAGTCTTGCGGGTACCCCCCCCCCCCCATCTCACTCAAATTCTGCTCGATCCAGTCGTGACGGTCCAAGTATGATCAGGTACGATCAGTGGCGCCGTCTGTGGGAAACTAGCTCCCCCGTCTTACAAACTCTCGGAGACAAAAGCTAAAAATCACTCCCTACCGTCATGGCTGACCAAGTTCAGGATGACCAGAACGTCCGCATCGTCGACGCCAACAACGGCCTCGCGGATAAGAATGGAGTCCCCGATAATGCCGGTAACCCCGGCCATAACACACTCCCCGGGGGCACCATCCCCGGGCCCTCGGGCCACCGCGACGGAGCTACTGTCTCATCTTCTTCAGCCCCTCCGCCACTCGAAGAAGACAATACGGCTCCCCCAAACTATCGAGTTGCCCAATTTCAAGAAGTCTCTGTCCCCGCCGGAGCAGATGCCACGACCCGCGCACTATTCGCGGAAATTAATCAAACCAACTACCTCATCTTTGCCCAGGGGGAAAGATTGAGGGCACTAGAAGACGATAGAAGACCCGCGAGGAGACACAGGAGGCCTCAGACTCCACCTCCTCGAGTAACAGAGGTACATCTCCCGTCTCCCCTGCGGAGACAATACAGAGACACCTCCCGAAGCCCGTCGCCCCGACCATCGGGGAGACGACCCCCCTTGGAGAGGCAACCCGTCATTGAAGCCGAAGGGCGCGACCATGGCCCCATGCGGAAAGAAAGAAGACACCCTGGAGACAGGCACGGGAGAATAGACCAACGAGCATCCCGCCTGAGGGGCACCCAGCACGACCAGGACCGTCGAGCCCAACAATATCTCAGGTCCCCGTCCCTTTCCCCAGAGCGAAGTGACGAGGACGACCCCCGCGGTCCCCTCTCACAAGCCATCATGGAGGCGCCCATTCCCCCGGGCATGGAGAAGCCTCCACATCTGAAAGAATACGACGGAGTCGCGGACCCAGTCGACCACATAGACGAGTTCGAGGCTATGCTGCATTACCATAATGTCGGGGGACCCATCAAATGCCGGTTGTTTCCCACGACCCTCAGAAAGGCAGCAATGAATTGGTATAAAGGTCTCGCCCCGAGATCAATCACCTCGTGGCGAAACCTGAAGAATCAATTCATAAGTTCGTTCACTGCGTCTCGGCGACACCCAAAGACCGAGGCAACACTCGAGGCCATCATCCAGAGATAGGATGAAACCTTGAGAGAATTTATCAATTGCTTCAATCACGAAGCCATACAGGTCCCCTGCGTGGACCACATGAAAAGGTACCTGCTGGAGAGGGGGCTCCTCCCCGGCACAGAATTCAGAAAGGTTGTGGGCATCGAACCACCCCGAACATTCGTTGCTCTCCTCGAGAAGGCCCGGGCATATTTGGATTACGAGGAAAGGGAAGCGGCCAACGGAGCCCGGGACCCCAGAACTCGCGGATCCAGCAGCAACCCGCGCCAAGAGGCCGCTCCTCCTCGACGAACCGGGGAGAAAAGAAAAGAGGACAGACCCCAAGAAGTCTGAAATCAGAGAGGACCCTCGGGGCGTTTCACATAATACACTCTGCTCACAGCTTCCCGCGAGCGCATCTTGGCGGAGTGTGCCAGCACGAATTTTAAAGAGGGCGGCGTCAAGCGCCCTCGACCAGCTCCTGCCAAACCCGGAGTAGACAAGAACAAATACTGTCAGTACCATAGGAGCCATGGTCATCTAACTGAGGACTTCGTCCACCTCAAGGACGCCATCGAAACCCTCATCAAGGGAGGGAGGCTCGCCCAATACCGGTGTTACGACGCTCCCCGTCACGACGCCCGGGAGACGAGAGAACCAGAGGAGGACGCCCGACCATCTGACGAATCGGTCCCCATCCAGACCGCCTTCTCCGTCACCAGACCGGAGGAC